CGGTCACAGTGATACCAATTAGAAAAGCAGGAAGGGTGTGTCTCTGTCCCCTCCAGCGGGGGAGTGGCTGTCTGATTTTCCTTGGCGTGCTCCCCACAGCCACTCCGAGGACTGCTCAGCTGAGAAGGAGCAGTGTGCCTGACAGCCTCCCCCCTCGGTCCTCCCATCACCTGCGTCTTCGTCTCTCATCCTCGGGCGGGTACTGAGCGCGGACAGGTGTGGGGCCTGTTGCTCTCAGCCTCTCCTGCCCCCAGCCTCAGCTTCCTCATCCGCGCAGTGGGAATGAGGCCATCAGAGCCTCGGTGGAGACAAACAGGGAGGGCTCCCGGATCTGCCACCGAGCCGAGCCGGCACAAACGCAGACCAGAGCCGACTCTGAATGCGCCGGCCACCGTCCTCCTTGACCTAAGCCCCCACACACACTGAGGCGGGGGCCGTCGCTCGCAGGGCCCCCTCAGGGACGGCGGGAAGGGCCTGGAATGTGGCTCTGCTTTTCTGCCATCCCGAACCAGAAGTGACGGGAGAACGCCGCGGACGCAGTCCCCACGACAGGACAGAACCGAGACTTTCGTGGGAGGGGAAGAGCAGAACTGAACCTTCTCAACGGGGAGGACTGACATCAGCTCCAAGACTCTTCCGGGGGAGAAACACCAGATAAAACCGGCTGGTGCAAGGAGACGCCCAGCAGCGGGCTGAGCGAGCACACTCCTCCGAAGCCACACGGCGTCCGGGGCCACTGTGGTCGTGCCTGCGCTAAGACTGTGCAGATAGCTATGTTGTAAACGTATTGCACATTGGTCCCTTTTTCAGAAATTACACATTTGAATAAAGCCTCATTACTCACAGTCCAAGAAGTTCATTAGGGAGAGATGGCTTTGGAAAAGCATCAAGGAGCCGGCCTTTCTTCTCAGCAGTGAATTACATTAGCTACTTCCTAGTTATTTAAATCTTGAAATAAAAGATGTAAACGCTGCAGTGACATCTTAAGATCACTGCGAAGGCAGGTCTTGCATGCACAAAAACGCCCAGCTGGTCTGCAGATAAAACAGATTGATAATTAGTTGCAAAATGTAACATTTCATCAAGAATATTTTGAATAATCCAATTTATCTTTGTCAGATATGCAGCACATATTTTTCTGGGGAGCAGCTTTGTTCTTTAACATAATATTATAATTTCAGGCTGCTAATGAAGGCGCCCGCCGGCCGGCCCGGCCTTGATGTGCGGCGTGGCGGGGAGCGCGCCGCGGCCCGGGGACCCGTGCGCCCGAGCGCGCCGCGCCCCGCTGCCGCCACCTGCCCGCCGCGGCGTGGGCTGCGGGCCGCGGGCGATCAAAGGGCCGGCGGGCGGCCGGGCGGGCGCCCCTGGCGGGCGGAGCGCGGGCCGGCGGGCGGCCGGGGGCGCCACTGACTCTGGCTTCTAATTAAACCGACGGAGACACAGGCTTCCCGCCCTTGGCAGAGCCGAAAGCAGGCGGCGGGCAAGTGGTGGCAGGAGTGGGACGCCGGCCCGAGGCCTCCCGGGCCCAGGGGGCAGGAGACCCCTCGGGCCCTCGGGCTGCCGAGGCCTCTCCCCGTGAGTCCCCCTTTCCCCGCGGCCGCCCGTGTGGGCGCAGAGACCTGCTGAAGCGGGAGTCTCCTCGCGCGGGCCGGCACACCGTCCTGGGGCTGGGCTGGGCTGGGCTGGGCTGGGTGGAGACAAGGCGCCAGCTTCCCTGGAAGATCAGCTCGCCCTCGCCACTCCCACAAAGCACAACCTTATCCAGCCTTTGTGCGAATAGCCGCCAGGCACCTGCTCTGTGTGCAAAATGTCGCTTTTATTTAACATGTACCCCTTCAGCGGTGCCTGGCGGACCTCAGGCCACTGTTGATAGCCCTGCTGGGGTTGTTTGGTGGTGTTTCGTGTTTTCAGAAGCAAATCCAATTGTTGCGCCAGCTTTAAAATTCTTCGTCCCTCCGTTCCGAAACCAGGAGCGGTGAGAGATGAGGCTGCCCTCCCCACTGTCCGTGAACGGATCTGATGTGCGCCTGCACACACATGCGCACACGCATGCACACAGCCCACTGTGTCCAGGAGGCCGGCGCTCCTCACCACGCCCCCCTGGGAAGGTGACAAGCGTAATGGAACAGCTTCAGAAAGCCCGGAATCTTTGGAAACCCCGCCAGACCCAGCCCGGGATGGCCCGGCGTGGCGACCCTGGAGGAGCAGGCCCCTCCTGGCAGGTGCTCGCCCCTCCTGCAGCCGGACCTGCGTCCGCACTTTCACGGCTGCAGTCTCCGGGCTGTGCTCCGCTCCTCGGGCTGAGTGTCAGCTTGCGCCTCTCCCAGGATGCACTGCGCTCTCATCGCCAGCGTCGCTGAGCCCGAAGGTGGCACACTCCTGCTGGGGATCCTGACCAGCCCAGCGCCCTTCTTCAAGGCCCCACCCCCTGCTGTCCCCATCACCCTTGCTTCCTGTCTCCCCTCAAGCCCTACCCCTGCCCTCAGCTCCTCCACCTTGGAACCCCGCCCCTCTCGGCCAATCCATGTCCTGTGTGCTCTGGAGCACACCATCTTCCACAACCTGCCGGTCTCACCTGGCACACAGCACCTTGACCTGCTGGCCACGGCACCTGGCACACAGCACCTTGACCTGCTGGCCACAGCACCTGGCACACAGCACCTTGACCTGCTGGCCACGGCACCTGGCACACAGCACCTTGACCTGCTGGCCTCGGCACCTGGCACACAGCACCTTGACCTGCTGGCCACGGCACCCGGCACACGGCACCTTGACCTGCTGGCCTCGGCACCTGGCACACAGCTCCTGCAGCAGCTCAGGGGCAGCGACTCGGGGGCCGCAAGAGGGCCTCGCATGGCTGGCCCCAGTCTCTGGCATGCGGTGAGCAGGCTGTGCAGCCCGGGGCCAGTGGTCGATGGCCAGGGCTGCGTCCCTGCAGGGGGTGCCAGGCAGCTGTGAGCAAAGCAGCTGAGCAGTGGGCCCAGGCGGGGAGCCCAGGCGTGAGCCTTCCCAAGTGTGCACGTGTGTGAGTGTGCATTTGTGTGCATGGGAGGGTGAGTGTGAGTGGGGGGGTGTGTCCATGTGTCTGAGTATGTGCCTTACAGTATGTGTGAACATGTGTGTGAACATGTGTGTGCATGTGTGTGCGTGGGAGGGTCTGTCCTATAAGCCTCTTCTCAAAGCTCTGTGACACCACTTCCTCCTGCCCCCTTCCCTCTCGGTCTTGGAGACAGAGTCCAGGCTGAATCCCCGTGGTCCTGCAGCCCTCCCCCGCGGGGCAAGGAGCCACCTCGCGGCCCCGTCTGGAGGCACAGCTGCTCCGCACCCTCCCTCCGTGCCCTGTGTCCCCCTCTCCCCGCCTGATGTCGTCCGCAGGCTGCCCGTGCCGCTTCGTCCAGGAGGCTCCCCAGGTCTCCTGCCGTGACTGTCTGTGGGGTGCTCTGCCTCTCCCGGGGGCCAGGCGCTCTGTCCTGGGCACACCGGCTCCGTGAAGAATTGCTGGCTGAGGAAGCGAAAGTGTCCAACAAGTGCAACCCTCCAGGTGGGCATCATGGCCAGCTATCAGCTACACGGAATTTTATCACACATGAAGCCTCCAACATTGAATGAGGAAGAAATATGAAAAGTCTTTGAGTTTATTGTAGAAAGAATAAATGGCTTGACTTTTGGCTTAAAGATGAGCAATTGAAGTGAAAATCATTTTTAAATGAGAACTCACATGAAAATACTTTTTTCTTGGATGTCAAGTCCATTCTGCTCAGATCTTGAGAAGTCTGCTACGAATGCCTGACTAATACAAAGCAGCGTGGGGGTCTCCGTGTGGTCTCTCTCGGCACGAATTCTCTCAAGGCAGGGATGGCCCGACTCGTCTCTGGTTGCCAAACAGTGCCCACAGCCTGTGCTGAAAGAACCACGGAGGGTGCAGGGAGACCCCGCCCAGCACAGGCGTGCCTCGGGGTGCCCAGTCGAGGACCCCCACAGGTGGGCGCAGGTCCCCCAAGGCCGGTGCTCCGGAGTCCACCCCTCACCAGGACCACAGTGACTGCGGCCGAGATGCTAAAGGCTCCTCCGTGCACTGGCGTCTTAGAGATGACGGTCAGCAGCCCGGTGAGCGGGGAGGCTCCAGGCAGGTTCCAGGCACCGCGGCCTGCCCGCACCTGTTCATCTGCTCAGCTCCCTTCTAGCAAAGCCCCCGCTCCACCTTCAAGGCCTAAACGAATCCTGCAGAAGGTCCCTGGAGGGCTCCTCCGTCTGCCCCCCCCCCCCGAGAGAGTGGCCCGGGGGATGCTGGCGAGGCTTCCTCCAGAGGCCCTGCACGCCGCTGTCTCAGGAGCCGGGTGGCTGCGCCTCCCGGAGGTGAGGAGCCAGGTCCCTGTCCTCAGGGCTCCGTCATCGCCGGCACTGACTGTGTCCTCCCAGGAGCCAGTGGGTACTCGACACACTCCTGGCGAAGAGGAATGCGAGTGGAGGAAAGAAAGAGGAGGAGTGGGAGAGAGAGACACGGGGATGGATTCTCATAGTATGTGCTCAGTAAACACCTCGGGGTGAAAAGGGGAACCAGGGGCCGGCGCTGTGGCGCAACGGGTTAAAGCCCTGGCCTGCAGTGCCGGCATCCCATATGGGCACTGGTTGTAGTCCCGGCTGCTCCTCTCCTGATCCAGCTCTCTGCTACGGCCTGGGAAAGCAGTAGAAGATGGCCCAAGTCCTTGGGCCCCTGCGCCCACATGGGAGACTCGGAAAAAACTCCTGGCTCCTGGCTTCGGGTCAGCACAGCTCCGGCCGTTGTGACCATCTGGGGAGTGAACCAGTGGATGAAATATCTCTCTCTCTGTGTCTACCTCTCTCTGTAACTCTGTCTTTCAAAAAAAATAAAATAAATCTAAAAAAAAAAAAAAAGGAAACCAGTTACTCATCATGGGCCCCTTGCTCCGTGGTGACATGTGACCCTCATTTGTCCGCATCTCTGAGGTTTTTGTTTGTTTTTTAACCTCTTAATTTTATTAGAAGAAACCACAATATTTTCATAAAATTCGGTTATTTCAAAGCACATTAACAGATTTGCTTTAGGTTTTTATATTGACTGTGAGCATGTTGTCTAGGAGAAACCATTAAATAAAAGATGAAATATTTTAGACATCCCTATCCCAATCTCCAAATGCCCACCAAAAACATCAGACGCAACACAGAGGCCTGTGTAACAACGATGCTGGATGCACGTGCGGGAGGAGAGTAGAGGACATCCTAGCTGGGAGCCCTCCTGCTTCTTCTCCTGTGCGTCTCTCTCAGCTGCTAAGTATTTATGCAACCATTCAGTGCCTTTCTTTTTCTTTTTTAAGCTTTATTTACTTATTTGAAAGCAGACTTACAGAGAGTGGGAGATCTTCCATCTGTTGATTCACTCTCCCAATGACCATGGCTGGGCCAGGCCAAAGGCAGGAGCCCATCCAGGTCTCCCACGTGGATGGCAGGGGCCCGAGCACTCAGGCCATCTTCCCAGGTGCATTAGCAGGGAGTTGAATTGGAAGTGGAGCAGCCAGGAATCGAACCGGTGCCCACATGGGACGCCGTGTCACAGATGGCGTCTCAGTGCCAGCCCTGCTTGTTTTATTTATCATCTCGTAAGTCCTGAGGAGGTTCAGAGACGCTCTCTTACGCACCCTCCCCTACACAATGATAGGTGCTTGGGAAACACTCTGAATGAAAGAAGGCACTTCTGGATGCTCCCTGTGGAGAGAGAGACGGGAAGGCCCGGAGAAACCAAGCCATCTCAGGGCGAGGGCGACAGCACGTTTCAGCGGATTCTCGAAATAAATTGTTCCCAATTCACATTGACATTGCCCTAGATGTTGATTCCTTGGCTTCTCACACAGATCCCTCAGTTTGAAGAATTTCACAAACGCCAAAGAAGGAGCTGCAGATCCTGGGGGGATGCGTGCAGAGATCACTCCCCCGCGGGGCGGCCGTGGGAAGCGGTCACGGGCAGGGCAGGCCCTCGAAGCTGCAGGAAAACCCCCCAGGTCTCCCGGAAAAGTCGGACCACTGCAAATCTCTGCTCATATACACAACCGAGCGTGCATGAACAGACAGCCCCAAACTCCGAAATTAAAGGACTGTTTCTTTCCAACAATGCGGTCTGTGGCTCTGTTATCAGGGGATAAATCAATTGGCAGCAGCTGTGGACAGCGATTTCCGCGTGAGCCGCTTGGCTTAACCGGAGAAGCGTGGTGGAAGTTAAGGACCTTCATCAGAGTGAGAACACGAGTTTTCCTAACCATAAATTCATTGCTCTGAATTCCTGAGCTGTTCAGTCACCCTAGGCTCTTCCTGGTAGGTCAGGGCGGTGTACCCACTTCCTGAGGTTTGCCAATTCGCTATTTTGCCTGTGATTAGGAAAAAATGCAGGTCACTAGGGTCACAAGCGGAGTTACAAGCCCCGGTGAGAGCCCCGGGCCGAGTTCTGTGCTTCATCAGCAATGATCCCACGGGGGCAGGAATGGCGAGAAGAATTTTTTATCCAAACACCGGCTGGTGAGGCCTAAGTTTTCCTCCAGTGTGGCTTTGGTCACCGTGCACAGTGGGATCGTGCCGTCGGTTTATGGCACCTAGTGGTGGGAGGAACAGAGAATACAAATACTCCCAGCGGGTACTGGCAAGGTCCGCCCACGTCCAGGTCTGTGGAAGGAACCAGCCCAGCAGTGCCGTCACAGCCTTGCCCAGAGCCGCAGCCCCGAGCCCCCCAGCATCCGTGCAGAGCAGGACTCCTGAAACCAGCAGAGTTGACCCCTGCCCAGAGCCCAGCCCCGAGCCCCCCAGCATCCGTGCAGAGCAGGACTCCTGAAACCAGCAGCTGCTCTTCCCTGGACGTCCGATAAGGATCGCGTCACCTCGTCACCTCGTCACCTCGGCGTGCGTCTTTGAAGCCAAACTGCTTTCTCACGCAGACTCTTCCGCACCTCCGTACCGGAAGTGCCCGGAGTCCGAGTCTGCAGTGAATACTGGTTTCCAGCTTGTGACATGCATTTTTCACTGAAATCAGTTCCCTGCCGTATTGCACGGTATTCCACGCTCTGGTTATCAACAGAGATACTATTTTACAGGAATTACCTCCGTAGCTTTTTTGGAAAACACACGGATACCCACAAGTCAAATAAATATTCATCAAAAAGATAAAATCAGGAAGTGCTCTGAGACCCAAATCGCCCTTTCTCAAGGTCGGGCACACGCCAGACGCTCCATTAAGTATTAGAGAATTAACTTCAAGTGAGCTGAATCTCAGACATTTTTAGAAGGGACTGTTCATCCCTACCAGCAGAAAACACGACGCCTTCCGTTCCTTCAGAAACGAAAGTGACAGCAACAACTTGCGGAAGCCCAACAAGTCCCCTTAGCTTCCATCAGGAGGTAACAGGAAAGCACAGCAAACAGACAAAAAAGCACAGCGTTTTGTGGAAAATGCAGCATGACCGCCGGAGGCCGCTTCCGGGCGCTGGCTCGTGGTCCCGCCTTCTGCTCCCCAGCCCTGCTGGCAGCCACCAGAAATTCTAAAGGTGGAGGGGAGCCCCGGCGCTCCTCATCCTGATGACCCTGGCCGTCACGTTTAAGGTGTCGTCGGAGACAGCTCCGGGCTGGCAGCCGCACGTGGAGAGGCGCGAAGAGCAGCACTGCTCCCGTTGGCATGGCAGCCCGCGTGTGCCGTGGCTCCCAGTGCTTACGCGGGGGACACCTCGGCCCACTCAGGTGCCACCCCATTTGAAGCCAGGCACCAGCACATCAGCTCCCGGCAGCTGGGGGTGGGGGAGAGCAGCTTGCCCACTTGGAGTTACAAGGGAATTTAGGAAGACAGAATGTAATTACCTGCACTGGAATCCGGCCAAGGTACGAGGGCTGTTGGAAAAAAAAAAAAAGTCAAGAAAAAAATAACCTTAATTCTCTCAGCCGATAACAAAAGCCGGGCATGGGCTCCGTTCTGTTTATGCCTTGGCAGCGAGGGGTATTTAAATCACCACCGCACAATAAATAAAAATAAAACTTCCAAAGTCCTCCCAGCCCCCCTCGGGACACACACGACTGCTTGCTGCACAATTCTTTGTCCGTGTGCCGGGGCCGGCGGGACCACGGCGCCGCGCGGCAGGCCTCATTTCCTCTCCCTGTCTCGCTCTGCGCCCGACAGCAGCTGCTGCCCCTGGCCGGCCATGTCAGAGCCAGGAAACTTAGCGCAGAACATGGGGGCAGTCACATACCCCTCCCCCCATTTGCGTGGCTAATTCGCACTCTGGAAAATCGGGCCTTGATGCCGATGAAATGAAGTGAAAAAGAAAGATTACCAACGCACAGGGCAAGTGGGATTTGATGGAGACCCCTGGCCGGGAAGAGTCTCTCTGTGTGTGTGTGTGTGTGTGTGTTTTTCCAAGAGGGAAAGAAAGACGAGGTGGGGGGAGAGAGAGAGGGGAGGGAGACAGAGAGGTGCCTCCAAAGGGCTGCGGTCATCAACATGCTGCAAATGTTCATCAGCTGGCCAGAGGCCCTGCCAAGCAGGCACGTGTGTGAGGACGGTGCCCCGGGGAAGATCCGGCCCCAGGAATCTGCAGAAAGAGCAGGGGCGTCGCTGGGCAGAGCCGGACGCCTCCTGGGTGTCCCTGGGCCCTTGGCGTTCCCCCCAGCGGAACGCAGTGGGCTGCTGAGGCTCCGCCCCCTCACGACTGCAGGACGCTATCAAGGTGAAATTTCCAGCTACCTGGCCGCTCGTGGATTTCCCCGGTGTGCGATTGGACACTCCGCAATTGGGCAGGAAGCACACACTCGGGCAGCCCCAGGGACCCGAGTCGGCCTTGTCGAAGCCGTTCAACTGAGAAGTCCAGTCTAGCGATTCAGTTTTAGAGCGAAAAGGCCGTTTCTCTTATTTCCAGAAAACAGCAGAGACCAGGAAAACTAAAGGGAGAACTTAACTGTTTGTGTGCTCGCTGCATTTCCGTGATGCCCAAAACCTCAGTCACTGTGGAAAGAGTCTTTAGGTTCCCCCCAGAAGTCTAAGAGACCGCTACGGAATTTAAAGGGACAACAAGAGGTGATGTGTGTGACATGAGGGGAGGGAAGGCAGAGAAATCAGGCACAGTAGGCAGTGCTCCTGTGAACCCCGGCCTGGCTGCCTTCCAGCGGGGTTGCTCATCATCGCTGGACGAACCCTCGTCCTCAATGTCAAGTTTGTGCAGCTGTAAATGCGTCTAGCGTCCCTGATTGAATTCGTTTAAGGATGCCTGTGTGTGAGAGAGAGGGGGTAGGGGGAGAAGTGCCTTTACTGGTGTTCCATCTCTATAAGTCAGTGCTTAGTAAGACGAGAAGGCGCAATCGGCTCTCGGCTGGGCCCTTGCTCGCTGGGGAACTCCGCGTTGCGAACTCTGGCCGTGGCCAGCACAGCTGGGACCAGCTTCCACCACTGAGGCAGGCCAGGCAGGGGTCAGAGGAGAGCCGCGCCTCAGAACCCCGCCCGAGTCCTTAAGAAACTAAGTGCACCCCCAAAAGCCACGTTTCTAACTGGAAATAAAAAACCAAACCCAACACAGCCGCTGCCAGCGCTGTCTGCTCCAGCGCTCTGTTTGGTGTCCAGGATGTGCCTCCTTTCCTGGACGTGTGATCCTACCCCTGGGCCACCCCAGTGACACAGTCTGCTCCCCACACGCACAGAATGACCAGTAAGTGGACTTCACAGACACCCAGCCCACACCAGCTGCCGCGAAATCGGGGTGAGCGTGGCGGGCAGAGGGACGCTTACTCCTAGCTCACCCCAGCAAGCCTGCCGTGCCACGCCACGCAGAATGCTGCTGCAGCCCACCAATCCACGCTCCTGAGTGTTGCGTGGGCCCCCTTTGATGGCATTTTGCCACCTCTGCTGTTCTGCATTATAAGTAAAACAGCAATCCAGCCCCCCATCCCACAGATGAGCTGTCTAACCAAAGTAGGATATTTGGAGTCTACAGAATGCTTTTCTCATGTCTTCAATATCAGACACCAAGTATTGGGCTGGAGACCGGCTTCCCTCCTAAGACCGCAAGGGGCATGAGAAGAGACGGGCAGGGGAGTCACCACCATGAACTGCTCTGAGCTCGGGCACCGTTCCTGTCTCCCACCACTCAGCCTGATGCCCGAAAAACAAAGACCCAGAGGACAGGGTCCCGGTCCCTTCCGCAGACAGAGTCCCCAGCCACGTGGCAGGAGGATCTTTCAGAAAAGCTCCCAACCCCACCTTATAGCTTCCAATAGACAGAGGGACTGGGGGAGCTCCAGAGCCATCCCAGTGCCCCCAGGGCCTGACTGCTGCCCAGGGTCTCCTCCCAGCACAGGACGGGGACAGGGACGGCCAGGGGCTTCCTGCAGACTCTCCCAGAGCCCCACCCCTCAGCTTAGTTGGAAGGCTTGAAAGCTCCCCCGCTTGCCGGAAGACAGAACGGGGTCGCTTCCAGGAGCAGAAGCAGCCAGATCCACACCGAGGCCTCCCACCCCCTGCCCCTGGCCCTGAAGTGGTTAGAGCCCCAAGAGCCCCAGGGCCATCCCCTCGGAGGGCAGCCGCGGTCACTCTCCCTGCGGCGATCTCGATGATTTCCTAAGTGTTACCTGGAGACTACTTCTCAATTCCAGTCGATCGCACCTATTGATCCTGGCAACACTAAGGCTAGGAAAGGAGTCACTCTTGCCCTTTGCTCTCCTGCGTGCAAGGAAGTGACTTACAGAGTCAGTGGTCAGCCCAGAAATAGGCACTTTGCGTGGTGAAGGCTTCCCTCCCCAGGCCAGGACCGTCTCCACGGGCGCCGGGCCGGGCTCCTCCCCGGAGGCTGCGGCCACACCGCCCCATGTCAGTGACCACGGTGTCCACAGGGAGCAGTGCGTACCGGGGTAATTCTTTATGGAGGTAAAACCCACGTCACATAACATGTACAGTCACGCTCTCAGCCTGGGCAACCCACCACTTCTGTCCAGTTCCTCACATTCATGGCCGCAAGCCCACCAGTCACTCCCCAGCGCCCCTCCCCCAGCCCCTGGCAACCACTGGCCTGCTTTCTGTCTGTGGACTCGCACACTCCGGACATTTCCCGTAAACGAGGCCCTTTGGGTCTGGCTTCCTTCCCTCGGCACAATGCCCTCGAGCTGCATCCACGCCGTGGCGGGGTCAGTGTGTGGTCCTGTCTGCACAGCCACAGCACAGTCCACGGAACAGACCACGGCATCTGATGCGTGCATCCGTCCACCCACGGACATTGAATCGTCCCCACTGTGGCTGTTGTGGACAACACTGCAGAGCGCATTTGCGTACAGCTGTTCATTCCGGTCTCTGCTTCCGCTTCTCGGGGGTGACTAGGAGCGGAGTCGCTGCGCCCTGTGCTGACTCCCTTTGAGTTTTTGAGGAGCCAATGGAAGCTCTGCGATCGCGGTGCTCAGTGGAAAAGCGCGGCCGTGGAGCGCTGGGGCCGACTGGGCGGTGAGCAGACGGGCGTTTCGTGCTGTCTCCGTGGCATTTAAGGGTTTCCGGGCAGCTCTCCCTTTTTCTCTGCAATGTTTCTTTATTTTTACCTGACAGGAAGAACCTACCCAAGCAAGGGCAGCCTCTTCAGGTCAAACTGAGCTGTGCCCAGGATTCAACGCCGCCGTTCCGCCCGCACCAGCCCAGAGCGCTGTCTGTCCTGTCCGTCAGGCTGCGCCTCACCGGTCCCGCGCCACAGGCCGGCAGACTCTCCTGAGCCGCGACGAGATGACTGCATCTGTGCTGCCGTCCCGCGGTACCCTCTGCTACACGTGTCACTCCCACGGTACCTCTACCACACGTGTCACTCCCATGGTACCCTCTGCCAATATGTCACTCCCACGGTACCCTTTGACACACGTGTCACTCCCATGGTACCCTCTGCCAATATGTCACTCCCACGGTACCTCTGCCACACGTGTCACTCCCACGGTACCCTCTGCCAATATGTCACTCCCACGGTACCCTCTGCCACACGTGTCACTCCCACGGTACCTCTGCCACACGTGTCACTCCCACGGTACCCTCTGCCAATGTGTCACTCCCACGGTACCTCTGCCACACGTGTCACTCCCATGGTACCCTCTGCCAATGTGTCAGTCCCATGGTACCCTCTGCCAATGTGTCACTCCCATGGTACCCTCTGCCACACGTGTCATTCCCACGGTACCTCTGCCACATGTGTCACTCCCACGGTACCCTCCACCACATGTGTCACTCCCACAGTACCCTCTGCCACACGTGTCACTCCCACGGTACCCTCTGCCACACGTGTCACTCCCACGGTACCCTCTGCCAATATGTCACTCCCACAGTACCCTCTGCCAATGTGTCACTCCCACAGTACCTCTGCCACACGTGTCACTCCCACGGTACCCTCTGCCACACGTGTCACTCCCACGGTACCTCTACCACACGTGTCACTCCCACGGTACCCTCTGCCACACATGTCACTCCCACGGTACCCTCTGCCAATGTGTCACTCCCACGGTACCCTCTGCCACACATGTCATTCCCATGGTACCCTCTGCCACATGTGTCACTCCCACGGTACCCTCTGCCACATGTGTCACTCCCATGGTACCCTCTGCCACACGTGTCATTTCCATGGTACCCTCTGCCACACGTGTCACTCCCACGGTACCCTCTGCCACACGTGTCACTCCCACAGTCCCAGACATTCCTCTCGATGGACTGAGTAGCAATGAGTGGGAATGAGAAAAAGATCTCAGGAGCCCAGCACTTGGCGAGGACCCTGACAGTGATGTCCTTGGACCCTTGTTCGGCAGGGCTGTGGACCTCAACCTCCCTGTGTGGCAGAGGCGCAGCTGGCAGAGTCCAGGCCTCCTTGCCGAGACAAGGCTCTGAGACAGTCTGCACCCAGGGCTTGTGCCCCCCAATATCCTGGGCTATTGCCCATCTCTCCCTTAATGGCCCCCGCCCCACCTTCTAGGATCACGAAGCAGCGAGTCCCTGCAGGCAGAACACATGGAGGCATCTGAACGCCGTGGACGAAGCACAGAACAGAGCGCTCAGAGCAGGCGGTGAAGTGATGCTGCTTGAGGAGATGCATTCGGGCTTAATATCGCTCCCAGCGCCCAAGAGAAGCTGAATTTAAAACCAACAGGGAAGCCCCAGAGACGACAGCCTGACATTCTTGAAGGTTGGAAGTTCCCACTGGACCAGCAGAGGGGCGCAGGGAATCCAAGCCGGAGCCTGAGCACCGCTCCAAAACTGCCGCTCCTCTGTCGGGGAGACAGGTCAGGCACAGGTCTGCCCAGGGTGCTCAGGGAGCGAGGCGGGCAGGAACACAGCCGCTGCTCGCGCAGTTCCGGTCTCTGTTGAGTCACTGGAGGGGGAACGTGGTTCCCGGAGGCTCACCAGGGCTCAGGGCGCAGGAGGGCGGGGGTGGGACAGCAGCGCAGCTCACAGGGTGGGCTCGAGAGGCAGGCGGCCATGCAGGAGGCGCCACCTTTTCTCTGCAGCAGGGCACCGGGCAGGAAGTGTCACCTCCTCCCCACAACAGGTCACACCAGACAGGAAGTGCCACCTCCTCCCCACAACAGGTCACACCAGACAGGAAGTGTCACCTCCTCCCCACAACAGGTCTCACCAGACAGGAAGTGCCACCTCCTCCCCACAACAGGTCACACCAGACAGGAAGTGCCACCTCCTCCCCACAACAGGTCACACCAGACAGGAAGTGTCACCTCCTCCCCACAACAGGTCTCACCAGACAGGAAGTACCACCTCCCCTCCCCACAACAGGTCTCACCAGACAGGAAGTGCCACCTCCTCCCCACAACAGGTCACACCAGACAGGAAGTGTCACCTCCTCCCCACAACAGGTCTCACCAGACAGGAAGTGTCACCTCCTCCCCACAACAGGTCTCACCAGACAGGAAGTGTCACACGGTCAGGAAGTCCACCTTCTTCCTACAACAGGTCGCACCAGGATCTTCACCTTTCCACTCTGTCCTCGGGAGCCTTCCCTCTGACAGTCCCCTCCCTTGGCACACCCTGCAGTAGGCACAAGAAGTCTCAGTCAAGTTCAGATCTCCCCCACAATGGAAGCCCCGTGCAGGCAAACGACTTTCACACCACCATGTGAGTCGGGGTGCTCCGCACAAGCCAGTGATGGTCGTCCCACAGTACTCGTTTACATAGCAAGAGCCGCAGCAGCTGCTTTCCAGGGGTCTCAGCTCCACTGATTCACTCTGGTCTCTGACCAGCTAGATGTCAGTGTGACCGGTGAGCACGGTGTGTAAAGTGTGAGTAAATGTCGGAGAGGGGAGGGGTCAGAGGCAGGCATGTGCACAGCACGTCCCGGAGCAAAGCAGCCCCCGTGGGTCTCCTCGTGTACCAACCTGCTCCCATCCCAGTGACCAGTGAGCTCACAGGAGGTAAGTGACCGACGTATGAAAGGTCACACAGCAAGCAAGTTACAGAGCTGGACCGGAACCCAGACACACGGACCAGGCAAGCCGCAGCTCACTCTGCTGTTCCCCGCTGTCTTAGAACAGTTGCCAGTGTTTTTCAGGCTGTCCAGTGTCGTGGCCTGATACACACATGTGTGTACCTACATGCACAGATCCATTGTGTGTGTGTGCGTGCGTGTGTGCACACGAATGCACTAAATCAAGGTTTCAGAAAACGGTGCTGCCCCTTGGCGTGCCGTGAGTTCTGGCGTCTGCTCCTGCTCTGGCTCGCTTCCACTGTGTGCACCACAGCTGCAGACCTGAGCTGATCTCATTCTCCTCTGACAGGTGGGCAGGCTGGGCCACAGGGGCTGCGTGGCTTGCCCGTCCGTGGCTGGCTGCCATGAGCACCCGCCATCCCACTCGGTCACCCCAGCCTCCAGGGCAGGTGTCCACCCCCAACCCTGTCACCACTCCTTGGGGCAGGGGCCCCACCTGTGCACCCAGAGTCCCTCTGCGTTGGTTCCCAAGTCACATGGTTGGTCACAGGGGCCTATCCGACTCCACCATCATCCTCGAGGACTGAGCTCCTGCCCATGGCTGCCTGGCCCCTGGCCCTGAGGGCCCCTGTCCCCAGAGGCTCATAGGCAGACCAGGTGCTATCATGGCCAGAAGAGGTGCTGTTTGTATGCAGGAGGCCAACATCTCCTCCCCTCCCTGGGTCCCGGGGGCCACTCAGGGAAGGCTCTGGGTGCACCCAGGGTCTTGGCACATCCGAGGGAACCCAGGGAGCTTTCTAGACTCCCAGAGGCCCCCACAGCCAAGCCTTTGCCCACACAGCTCTGGAGCGTCTGACCACGGACGTCTCAGACGAGGCGGTCCTCACCGTGTGTCCTGGCTGGGCTGATGGTGATCTGAGCGGCTCAGCGGGCTTTACTCCTGTGCGGCCGCCTCCTTCCCCATTCGTGGAACAAAGCCCAGGCGAGCAACGGCGCTGGGCCTGTGAGGACCACACCAGCAATTCCTGGGCTTCATAGCAGCCGGCTCTGAGAGCTGGGGACAGGGGGAGGGGGGTACGGCGGGGAGCGAGGTGGGACCAGCACACTGTGGGCGCCAGGAAGGGGGCCTCCAACTTGCCTCCCTCCTCCTGCAGCCTCCCTGGGGCAGGAGGAACGTCCCATCTACTGCGCCGAGCAGCTCCTCGTTTCAAAGCTGAAGAGTGCCATCTTGTGCCAAAGAGGCGCCACTGCCGCGGCTCCGGTCGTGGCCGCCTGCCTTTCTTCGGGTCTTTCTTCCCACTCAGCGAGGCTTCCCAGCCTCTACAGGAGCCTCCTAAGGTTCCCTGGGCTGAGGCGAGGGTGCAGAGCTGTGCTTCCAGGAGCACCTGCCCCTTGCACCTACACCCCTCCTCTGCCACCCAGCGGGCGGCCCTCACCCCCATGCCCTCTCCTGTGCCCTTGCTGGTGGCCAGCCCGTCGGTCTGTGCTCCTTGGGTTCCAGAGGGTGTGCACCGTGACCCTTAGGAGGGAGCGAGCTACAAACGGGGAAGTTCGCATGGGACAAAGAAAGCAAAACACTGTGAAAAAGAGAAAGAGAAAGGAAAGAAAGAAGGAGGGGGAGAAGGGACGAGAACAAAGCAAGAGGAAGGACCGAGCAGCCTGCACTCGGCTTCCCGCTGCTCTCAGCCGCAACTTCCGATGAGCCCTGTCCCACACGCAGAATGTCCTCTGGGTCAGGAAATGCGGTTATCGGGAAGGTTGACACACGTGATGGAAAACACCCAAGCTCTCCACCTGGCCCTGGGGGCCTCAGTGTCCCCGTCTGCCAAAGCAGAGACTGGAGCTGGGGAGGCAGACTCTCCCTCACTGCCGGCCTGGCCTTCAGTTCAACCTCCCGTCCGCCCAGGCTCCAGATGTAACTGCGAGGCCCCCAGCATGGCTGCTTGGACTTTCAACTCTTCCCCTCTTCACATCTGAGATTAAAATATTTTAGGGGAAAAAATAAAGCAGGCAGAAAAGAAGAAACACCCAGAGGAATAGCAGGGAGGGTCCGAGGGCTCCACACCTCTTACAGCCAGAGAGGGGAACGTCATACAATGGAGATTTTCACTTGATCTCTCTCCTTGAAATCAAAATGCAAGAACATCAGGGACACCAAGGCCGCTTCAGGGCTCCACGCATAGCACCTCCCAGTGCCTCCCAGCGCCCCCGCCCTGGCTTGGGGGTAGAATAACGGAATGACCAGTTTCATGCACCACCTGGAGCCGGGCACGACCTCCCCCCACACTCCTACGCTCACCGTTGTTCTGGGAAAGTCGCGACGATATCCACTTAAATGTTCCCACCTCGTTCTAGGGCCTTGGCGAGCAGAGAGAGTAAGTGACTGCTTGCTTTGCTGAGGAGCAGCCATGGCGGTGAAGGTGAGGGACGTTGTTCAAGGCTCTGCTGGGAACTCGGGCTCTGGCCCCTGCCGGCCTCTCCCGGCTGCTTCCTGCAGGGACGCGGCTGTGAGAGTCCAGCCGGGTACTCGGTATCACACGCAGGTGACTGGCCCAAAGCAGCCTAAGGCCCTGGGCGCCTTCCCTAGCTTGAAGGGGACGCGGATGTGCAGGCCAGAGTCCCGAGGTCGCAGGAAACAGGGTAGCATTTGCAGCAGATTGGTTCAATGGGTGTTTTTAATGCAAATTAGTTCAAATTGCTATCAAGAGTAATTATTGCCGAAGAAAGGCAGCGTTTCCATCATCCTTCCCTCATTTAGCTCTTCTCTAGTCTCTTTTAAATAACTTAGCCATAAAATTTCAATTGACCACTAAAAAAAAAAAATGGTGCTACCCGAGTGAGGATGGAGGCCAGCGGAGGGCGCCCCAGCAGGGCACAGGTCTGCACCCGCACCCTGGCGCCGCATCCCCTGCACGGCTGCTCCGCGGGGGGAATGCCCACGCACCCCTCCCATTTGGGAAAGGAAGAGGTCAGGCTCTCCCGGGGAGGCGGGGGCCGGGAAGGGACCAGGCATCCCGGCCACGCGTCCCGCACCCGCCGGCGCAGGTCTGCTGTTGGAGCCAATACATTATAATAATATTAGGCAAAACCAGCGAGCGTATGTGGTAGAAAATTGCATCTCATTTGTTCTAAATTTGCCAAAGTCTAACTCTTCGGGGAGGTATTTTTACTTTACATATTTGTTAATGGGATCTGCTTCCTATTGCCCCAAAATGCTTAATATACAAAAGGCATCGGATTCCGGCTCTGGCCCTAACTCATCCGAACAAACAGAAATAGAAATCTGATTTCGGGTTTCGCTCTGCCGCCTGTCTCCAATTCATGTTCGTGGCAGCCTCACCATTAATAGCATCTGGAGGAGCCTTTTATTTACCTATTATGGCATCATTTGTAACATAAAACTGTTGTGTTCTCTTTTCATTAACAGATTCAGTTGCAAATGCTGGGGAAAAATTACAAAGAGCACCTTTTTAAAATATGCACATTTATTGGGATTATTAAATCAGAACAGCTAATGGTGGTTGTCACCAACTTAATTTAAAAAGCTGATTATTACTCAAGCCCTCCGTATTCCGGGCCTGATACTGTATAATTAGCGGTTGTGATTATTTAGTTAATTTGCAGATTAGGAACAAGTGCCTGTTTTGAAAAATGCGGCCACTCGACCTTCAGCAATGGAGGGAAGGAGTGAGCCAAGCCCCTCTCGTGCGGGAACAAAGGTATCCTGTCCCCCAGATGCATCTGGGTGTGGGTCCCGGGAGTCAGGGTCACCACCTGGATCCCTCTGGCCCCAAGTCCAGCGGGAGAGCCGCTCCGGAAGTGCTTCTCCGAGCGGCCGCCTCCCGCGGAGACTGACCAAGTCGGACGGTGGTCGTGGAGGTGCCGATGCAACAGCAGCCGGACAGAGGCGTCCTCCTGACCCAGCCGTGGAGGCCGGGCCGAGGCGGAGTGGTCCGGACGCGGGCACAGACCCCGTCCCCTGGCTGCGTGTGTCATCAGTCACCCAGCGGTAATAACGTTTGTAACTGTTTCCCTCCGCTCCGGTGCGAGTCACCTCGACTAATAGACAATGCAAATGCTAAAAGGCACATACACATCTTCATTACGGAAGCTGGTGCCTGGGCCGCTCTGCCCCCAGACATTTTTATTCATTTTTACACAATTTGCCTACTGTACGGTACAGATGGTTTCTATTAAGTCAAATATCTGTTTTCTTCCAAATTTTTAGTTGTCGTGATTAAATTACTTTAAAATGATGGTGCATCGTATAATCTTCTTTCACGGCTTAATTTAGCTCAAATACTCTCAGCGTAACCTCTAAACTCAGTTCCAGCCACACAGAACATCGCCCACAGGCTGTGAGTTCTCCCACGGTTTCACCCCACCCCCACCCCCAGGCCTGGCTGAGGTTTCTGTTCTCCGTCAGCGACTTTCAGCCAAGTCTGAACCGTGTGGATTGTTTTCTAGAGATAAATGTGAGTGTGAGTAGCAGTGGCAACCTGGGCCTTGCTCCCCTAAACTGTTTGCCGTGTGCCCCTCATTACAGAGCCAGGTAGCAGGAAAGAGAGTCGCTGCCCTCACGTGGCCAGCCTGTGCAGCCCGGGCGGCCGGCTCCTCGCCCCGCCCCGTCCCGGGTCCTGCAGGCACAGGGCCCATGGGCCGGAACTCCCGGCTTGGCCAGGAAACGGAGCTTGGTGACAGGTGGTGCAGCCGCCTGCCCACAGCTGGGATCCGTCTCTGGATCTCAGCTGACGGAACGCTGAGAATTTAATTCTGAGGCCTGGATTACAAGAGTGACACTGGGCAGGCAGGCGTGTCCCCGGAACCCCTCCTTTCTTACCGCTTGCTTTCCTGTTTTACTATTGCCTTGATACCCCCTCCACCCCCCACTGGCTCTTTTCAAACTGGCTCATCCATCCCCCAGGCCTGGGGCACAAGTCTGCACTGGACAAAAACGTGGAGCATTCCTGGGAGCCGAGGCGAACGCGCGCAGAGGAGGAAGGCGTGCCAGGCGGGCGGAGTGGCCTCCCAGAGCCAGCTGCAAACTTCTGCTCCCTCCTGGGCCTCCAGGGGCGGCTCAGGGAGGTCCTGGGCACGGGGCCAAGGCCATGGTCAAGGAAGGCCCCAGAAGCGGGCCTAATCCTCCAGCTCCATCACAGGGCGGGCTGCCCCCTCCAGTGCCATCTTCCTGACCTTGATGGTGCTGAGTGCGGGTGCAGTGGATGCGAGAGCATCTCGTAGGTCCCCGAAGGGCAAGGCAGTGACGAAGTCCCGGAGAGGTGCGGATGGGGCAGACGGGGAGACCGGAGGCTTCGTCCTGGCTTCCCCCGTCCCCCAGACAAGTCAGGGGGTGGCCAGGACGATTAAGGAGAACAGCAGGCCTGCAGAGGCTCTGAGCCAGCCCCTCGTTTGCTCGGCGTAGACCTGAGGTGCCCCCGCTTCGCTTCACTTGGGCTTGTCCATCACCAGAGCAAAGCCAGGAATCACGCTGCTGCCCTAACCTCGCACCCGGAGCAAGTGCGCCTGCTCCAGGCCACTCCTGCCACGGACAGACCCCCCGCCAAGCCAGTGTGCCGAGATGAATACCAGAAATGCAAACTCCAATCTGACACAAGCGGGCACTTGTCTCCTGACTGCAGCCCACTTGGAGGCAGCACAGAGTGCAACAGCCCTGCGCTGGCCAGAGAGCGAACTGCCTTCCTGTAACCCCTCTGCTGGGAGGGGAGCAGAGAGGGCATCGGAACAAAGGCAGCCCCTAGTGGCTGGTCCCTCCTGCAATGCTCACAGACACAAAGCTGACAGGTCCACGGTCACCTCCATGTCCACCAAGACCCAACTGATTCCACTAGCCCAGGACCTCATGGCCTCCATATTGGAGGCAGGAGACAGAGCTATCCAGACCATTGTCCTGACTTCCGCTGTTCTCCGCCTGCCTGTGTTTACGGAGACCCAGCCAGGGGTCCTGCCCAGCCCTTCCTTCTCAGGCACCTGATGCTCCCCTGCCAGGTGTGGGGGAGCCGAATCCCAGCGAGGAGCCCCAGCCATGCACAACCACTGAGAAGCAGCGCG